TCCGTGCGACTTTGTCATACAGATACTGCACAAAATCCTCTGCCCTCCCCTCCAGGGGGTCCCCCCCCTCCAATTGAAGGAGGGAGCGGGTCACCCTGAAGAGGGCGGCAGGGCGGTTATCTGATGACGCGATGAGTGAGGCATAGTAGTTAGTCCTAGCCTCCCTCAGCGCCACTAGGTAAGATCTAAGATGTATCTTCAGAATGATGTTGATAGATTCTACTTATTAAGGTGGGCTGGAATTTTGCAAGTACATCAGACAATTGAAAAAGAAAAATGGGTATTGGAAAAGTATCTGAAAGATAGTGAAGAAGATGCATTTAAACTAGTATACCAAGAAGGCTTACTGAGTCCTGGAGAGACCAAACTGGCCTACAAGAAAGACTAAACATGAAGAACAAAACAGAGGTATGGCATGCCCAGCACATTAAAAAATAAAAAAGTGGGCAAACCAGATACCAACAAAACCTAGCAATGGTTAAAAGCAAGAAAATTGAAGAAAGGGCAGATAAGTTCATTCTGGCTACACAAGACCATGTTTTAAGAATAAATGCAAAGACAGCAACAGATAGCTGCCTATGCAAAAAAAGCTAAAGAAACAGGGGTCACCTGCTTAACTCATGCAAGAAGATCACCTAGACCAGGGGTGTCAAACTGCCGGCCCACGGGCTGGACGGGTCACGTCGAAGCCGCGTCCACTCTATTGCCGGCAATGGCAAAACTGTCCCGATACATCACATGATGTCACGTGACGTCGCAAGTTTGACATGTCTGACCTAGACTGATTACAAACAAGACATGATTATGTAGTAACAAAGGTGCATTGGAAGATCTGTAAAAAAAATCCATTTGCCTGCAAGAAAGAACTGGTGGGTCCATAAAATACACAAAGTAATAGAACATGAAAAAGCTTAAATTGCTCTGGAACTTTCACATTCAAACAGACAAGAACCTGCCATATAACTTTCAATCTTAACATTTGTCAGATAAAAGTCTGCACAGTGGATGTGGCAATACCTGGAAAGAGCAGAAGAGAAGAGAAAAAAATGGGAGAAAAATCAAAAATCAAACAGAAGATCTGGGGCAAAAGAAGGCAAATATAGTAGTAATAGTAATAGGTGCCTTGAATGCAACTCTAAAACAGCTGCATCACCATGTGAATACTATCTGCATTGACAGTACATCAGTCAAATAGAAAAGGCAGCTTTAGTTAGAAAAGCTTACATCCTGTAAGGATACCATTAAAACTAGCAAACAACAACATAGCTACCTTAAACCCGAATTATTCTTATTAGGCATAATTAACCCAAAGATGAAAAAAAACAACTTCAACACATCATTGTACATATAATAACAGCGGCACGCATTGCATATGCGCAATGCTGGAAAGGGGAAAACATGCCAACAAAGGATATGATTATTTAGAAGATACTAGAATGTGCTGAGATGTACATACTTACTCTGGAAATCAAAGACAAAGAAGCTACAGAATTTTAGGAGATATGGGACAAGTGTTACAACTGGTTAGAACTGAGGAATCAAAAAGTATGAGAAGTGATGTAAATAATTGTAAATAAATGTAAAAGATATAGGACACAGTACTGTTAAGAAAAAAAATGTATTTTGTATTTTGTTTTTTGTAAAGTGAAAAAGGAAAAAAAGAAAGATAGGGAGAGGGAGAGAGAGGGAAAGAGAGGGGGGGGGGGAGAGAGATGATAGGTATGAATTGTTCTCTCCAAATGTTTTGCTTTGCCACTCCCATAAACCATCCCTTTGGCCATGTTGGTTTGAGCTGACGGAACTTGTAACTAAAAATATCTGGAGGAATCAGGTTGCTCATCCTGTTCGAGTTTGAGAAAATATTTTGAACAACAAAAAATGTTTCTCATTACTTTGGAAAATGTTAATTTATTTTAATAAAATATATCACCTCCTAAAAATAGAAAAGGACTTGATAGGTAGATAAAAATATCAAATCCTACTCTAAACTGACTGATAGCAACCAACCATAATAATAACACATTTATGACACTGATATCATGTTTGATATAGTACTCATACATAAGTTACTAAAGTTTTATATTTATAAAGAATACATTTATATTTTATATTGTTTATATTCTTTTTAATAATACTTTTTATATTTTTAAACAATTATTAGAGTTATACAGGTAGTCCTTGACTTACAACAATTCATTTAGTGACCTTTCAAAGTTACAAGGACACTGAAAAAAGCAACTTAGGAACATTTTTCACACTTATGACCTTTGCAACATCCCCATGGTCATGAGAACAAAATTTATACGTTTGGCAACTGACTCATATTTGTGATGGTTGCAGTGTTCCGGGATCACCTTTTGCAACTTTCTGACAAACAAAGCCAATGGGAAAGCGAGATTCACTTAACAACCATGTAATTAACTTAACAGCTGCAGTGATTCACTTAATGACTGTGCCAAGAAAGGTCATAAAATGGAGCAAAACTAACTTAACTTGCTTAGCACCAGAAATTTTGGGCTCAATTGTGATTATAAGTTGATAACTACCTGTAATGGTCTCACTTGATATTTATTTTACTTATTTATTTATAAAAATGTATTTGTCGCCCAATGACTCTGGGTGACTTATAAAACAATTTTTGATGAACCCTGAAAAGGAAACTATTGCATCTTATTTCTACAAAGTTTGAAGATGCATAGTTAAATACCTTTTCCTGGATGCAGGCATCTTTATTTTCTGCTATGCAGCAAACTTTCAATATGATTTCAGAGTTTCTAGCTGAGTCAAGGAATAGAACAGCTGGTGCATGAAGATACCTTTTGGTCTTCTTATAACGCAAGCTATGAAAAATAAAATATATAAGTGTGTGTGTTTGTCTCTATGTGAGAGGGAGACAGAGAGAGAGAGATGGGGGGGGGGTTCATAGCAAAATAACTCTTTCATTTGTTTCTTAATCTGAAATTCTTATTAATGGAAAGGCAACTGTTTATGCAGAATTACAGTATTTTCCAGCATATAAGACGACTTTCTAAACCCTGAAAATCTTCTCAAAAGTCGTGGGTCATCTTATACCCCCAGTCATCTTATATGGATGGGAAGGAACAGACTCAGACTCAACCCTTCCAAGACCGAGTGGCTGTGGCTGCCGGCGCCCCGGCATAGTCAGTTGGTTCCATCGCTGTCTATAGGGGGCGAATCCTTGGCCCCCTCAGAGAGGGCGCGCAATCTGGGAGTCCTCCTGGATCCACGGCTGACACTGGAAGATCATTTGTCGGCCGTGACC